TTTTAATAATCTCGTACAATTTGATTTGTAAAACATGAATGAAAATTTTATTTTGACGTACACGATGTTTACTAGCCTCGATAAAGTGCTTTATATATCTTTAAAAATAAAAAAAAAAAAAAAAAACGAAAACAAAAAAAAACATAAGGGAAACATTCGTGCGGAAATGGTGTCTAAGAGACATGAAGGATGAATTCGATTGGTTTTGTTGTTATCCTAACGCCCAGAATGAAAACCAATCCAAAGACGCTTTGCTTCGATCTTGAATTTATCGAAAGTGCTGGGCTTACGGCTCCACCTGCCCTCGGCTCATTCGCTTATTTTCGTATATTGAACGGCTACGAGATGTCGGCGCTTCACTACTGACTGTTTTTGTACTCCAGATAAAGAAAGTATGTACCTGCGGCGTAAGCAATGGTATTGAAGATACCGAAGACCTGTAAACAATAGATTTCGATTCAATAGTTGGATTATGTACTCTTACACTTTTAAAACCTTTGCCTTGCAGATCGATGAAAAAAAAGCTTTGCTTTCAATTTGCTTATTTTAATTTTATCTCGTTAGTTTATCTTGTGAAATTATATCAATTATGTAAATTTCTATAATATAATATATAGTTTGAATGGTAATAATATTCGCAGTTACTGATAGGTCGGTTAACATTTACTTGGGTAAAATAAGTTTAAAATAGAAGGATCGTTCTTTAATGTCATAATTAGCAAATAAAATAGTTATATTGCATGTATAATCAGAAATTATTTGGAATATGCCAAATCTGCTGGGAATAAAGAATTATGAAAAATGCGGTTGAAAAGGATAATTAAGTTTATCGTTGAAATAATTCGAGAAATCATATTGCGAGGGAAAGGACAGTTTAGGGTAGCGGAATTTTTTTATAACAAAACAATAGGCATAGTTCTAGAATATAACATTATTTATTAATAGAATTATAATTCATTATTTATGTATGATTCATTATTATTGTGTTTGTGAAAATTTATATGCCGATTAATATGCCGAGCAAACCAGTCTAATACACTGCAATTATTTCTTATTGTCCAAATTATATAATCGATATTATAAAGCAAGGATTTATCACGAACTTAATTATTAGTGTTTTAAAAAAAAATATTTTTAATTGAACTTACTCCTGCTATGATGTATGGGACCCAAAAAGCCCACGCTAATTCAGTGACAAATGCCGTAAAGTAAAGAACGGTATAAATACCCGTATTCAGCAATTCCTGAAAAAAAAATTTTTTAATTAACGTATTATATATGGACAAATAGAAAAAAAAACTTTAGTACTTTAATACTAAAAAAAAATGTGTTAGTTGAGAGACAATATGTCAGCATAATCTTATACACGTATTATATCCACTTACATTGATTGAATGCTTATATAAAATTATATTTATAAAATAGAAAATTATGCAAAACGCTTATAATTATTATATAAATACATAAACACTAATTCTATAAAAGGATAAAGCTAATCATAATTAAAAATTTAATTATTTACAATAAAACGTTATTTACGAATTACAATGAAATTGCCAATAAAGCCAAAGTTTATATGTATTTATTAATGAAAAAAAAAAGAAAAAAAAGAAAAGGAAAATAACAATAATAATATTGAATAATAAGAATAATAATAATAATAATCAAGTAAATTTATACGTTATTTTTGTATTGAAATAAAAGTGTTTTGCATTTAGAAAAAATATAAAATAAAAATGTACTCATTAATTAAAATAAGAAATTTTATTGATTAGAAAAATAAACGAGGAAAAAATTACTATGCAATTATAAAATGCGGATTGTATATGTATGTGTATTAAGTTAAATACTAGATGTAATTAATTTAGAAACATACGTTGAATAATTGCATAAGACGCGCTTGCTTGAGAATGTAAAGTGAAATTTTTTAAATGTAATTACATGTCTAGAGAACTTACCGTCAATAGCCAGTTGATGGGTATTTTCAACGCCTCGCGAATGGAAAAGAGATAGACGAGCGACCAAACCAAACTCATTATGAACGCCGTCACGGCTATGAAGAGGAACCAGTGACCTGCATTATATCCCGGAGAACCACAGGCCATACAAATGATGCCCAATATCTGCCAAAGAATTGATTAATGTAGTGACTGTATTTGAAATTAGGCTTGTAAGCCTTGAATATTTTTTTAAGAATGGCCGTACTATTTATTCATTTATGTGGTAGAAAGTTGTTGTGTATTTATATTTGAAAGTGTACAATGAGTATAAAAGCAAATGCTATGTTTACATAACGAATCGTTACAATTTTACAGACTTATATTAACTACCTCGTCATTTGTGTCAAATATCTTAATTTGGCTTATATTTCAAAGTAACGAGACAATGCTCGATTAGTCGATGAACTTTGTAATCGTGAATTTTTTTTTATTTAATAATATCTCGCTAACAAAATATTTTTTGGCTGATTCTTTATTTTTGCAATATTTTCGATTATATATTATTAGTTGAATTATAGTTATGAAATATTGAGAAATAATGTTGTAAAGCATGTTCATGTCGGAAATTTTGCATATCGAGAAGAGAGGGAGGAAAGAGAAAGACGTCGCAAGTCTTATCTTATCGTTGTAACATTATAACAAAAACGTCACCAAGATAACGAAATCTTTTAAGAATTTGCTTTAGCTGCAAAGATCTTAGTGTAATTTAGCATGAATAACGGAATTGGATTACGTTTTTAGAAGAACAACGAGTTAAATATACTTATGATCGTCATATCGCTGATCAAAGTAAGCAATTATAACTATGATTTATGACGAGAGTTAATTATAATTTCATATAATATTTTATAGAATGATTTGTCAAAAAAATTCTTTACCGAGCATTCTTTGCAGCAAAAAAAAAAAAAAATACAGGTATTCTAACGTTTTTACCTGAATTTCCTAAAATAAAATTACAAAATGTTAAATGTAAAAGTATTCGCAGTAATTTTATTATTTAACATAGCAATTAATATTATTATATCCGCGGATATTTAAATTATAAAATATATTATTTATAATAATTTTTATTTCAGAAGTAAATTGCGATTAAAAAGTTAGGTAGTGTTAGATGTTTGTGGAATAAGTAAGGATTTTAATAAATGTTTGTAAATATAAAGAGCGATTATAAGAAAATGAAAATAATTTAAGCTAAAATAAAATATGAATACAGTAATAAATTCAGATATTGTATCCAGTTTAAAATAGATAATTAAAAAAAAAAAAAAAAAAAAAAAAAAAAAAAAAATTACCAAACATTGGATTTTTAAAAACATTTTATTGTTTTATGTTTCTTTCGGTTTACAAACTCAGAAGGTAATACGAAATGTATATATATATTACACTTTCTTTTTTTCTTTTTTTTTTTTTTTTTTTTTTTTTTTTTTTTTTTTTTTTTAAATGCGTGGAAGTATTTTCTCATTTTTACAATCTAATCTTTGAACTTTTTACGTACATTATATCATAATGTAAATGTAAAATCGTATTATTTTAAACATGTGAAGTATTTTAGTGGATATTTAAAATAAAATAAAGCGCAAACCATCGGAACAATTGCTGTCTATATTTTCTTTGAACATAAATGTGAATAAAACGTGTTTCTTAGAATTACTTATTGATCGATGCGCCTGAACGTTCGGTTGCATCTACTGTTGACTAACAAGGTAACAAAAGAAGTCGTAAAGCGAACTTTTACAATAATTCTATCCTCAAAACAATAGCTACTTATTTTGCGTATAATTATGTGAATGTATGTGTTGAGTTGCAATATCTCTGGGCATATTTTGATTTGGTGCATTTTTCGTATGCCCGACTCCATCATCTCCTACCAATGGAATCGAGGCTCGTGGTATTCCTGGCTCAGTCTCTTCGTCAGTTCAGCTTTCAACCGTTGATACTCCTCCTCATACTCGAGGTCGGTCTTCATCAACGAACGAGTGGCAGTTTCATTCTCAGTGTTAACATCTCTCTTGCCTTGCCCTAATCCGAGCTCCGGGATTACCTTATTCAAGCACTTTTGGAGCTTTTCGTCGGCTTGTCCTAGCTCTACCGCTATTTTACATAATCTCGCTTTGCGCTGCTCCTCCAGGACCGCCACTGGTCTTCGCTTCTTCTCGAGCTCCGATGGCACGAAGCCCTTTTTCTGCAGAAGTACAACCTCGGCGCGCTTCTGCTCGATCTTTCGCCACATTGTCGATTTGGACAGACGTCTTTGAGTCAGCTTCTTCTCAGCCTCGGATTGAGCTAGAACCTCTTGTTCCTTTTAATGGAATAAGACGCTATCATTGTTTCCATTTTTTGCACTCGTAATCTACTTTTACGGCGTAAATCGTGCGATTCTTTGTGCCAGTTTCACTAAAACTTTGTAAAATAATAAGCATAACGTGCGTGCATTCTCATTCGCTCGTTTAACAAATAGACGCGACTTCATTCGAAAATTCTAATCTACTGACATAAATAGTACTCTACGTGCACGAAAGAAAGAATAATAGGCTCTAACGACTTTTCTTTCAATTACAATGAAAGCACCATGGACACAATCAATTTTTCTTCTGTTTTTGTTTTTATTTTTATGTTGAAAGCTCGGAAAAATTAAACATTTTCAATGATAGTAGTTAAATCTTAAATTAAAGCTATCTATTTGCTTACAATGGTGCACTTACTGAACACTCTTAAAGCCGAATGAACGCGTATGAAAACAAAACGTATTTTGTCATTCGATTCCTCTAAACGTAAACGTAAACTTTCTAGAAAATTTGCATTCCCAACAATGATGTGCTGCTTCTCGTAAGTACAAAAATAATAATTCCCATCGCGTGTTTCAACGATCGTCAAGAAAACTCTTATCGATATAATGATAAACGAGCATGCACCAACTATCATTAAGATTAACCTATTGAGTAATAATTTCAAATAAAAGGGTAAAGTTTCGTCGAAAGTCTGCCCTTGCTTATATTACTTAGCAATCAAGTATTGATTGAAGTCGATGTGCTTGAAGACGGGCAATTATGCAAGGTCGCACATGCAAAAGGAAGGCATTCGAGGGCGTACCATCAAAAATCTCTGCCTCGCCTCTTCGTGCTTTCTCTTCGCTTTGACTTCTTCTCTCTCGCTCTTACGTGCTAAAGCAGTCGGATGCTGCTGCAGGTAGTTATTCTGCCAGTGACGAAAGTCGTATTTGCGCTTCGTCTCACGCCAGACGAATTCCTCGAGCCACTCGATGCGCTCTAGGTTCTCGTCTTCGCTATCTTTGCCCGACTCCGCGAAGATCCGTAGGACCGAAGGTCCGTCCAAAATAGCCACTAATTTCTCTCGAGCATTCGGAGGACTTGGGATGATGTACGGCGTAATCTTTGCGTGAACAGTACAAGGGGCATTTCAAACATTTGAGGTCAGTTGGTAAATAATAGGAAATTTGCTGTCGCCATTTTCAGGGACCGAGAGGCAAATTACTTTCGACATACAATTTATATTGGATGTCGTGATGGATTTGGACCGATAACGTACCATGATATACGTATGATAACGTTTATCATACTTTAATTAATATTGGTACTTTTATCTTTTCGTTATAATCTTTGCGTTATACGTTAAAAACGATAACATTCATGGAAAATTTACTTTAAAACAACTGCATTCATTGTAGACAAATTGTTTATATTAATTATAGAATAACGATGTAATTTAATTTAATTATTTCATAGTGAAAAGTTATGTTAATGTCAATTTTTTAGTAAAAAATTTTTACGTGTTATTTAAAATTGCCATAAAATCGAAATTGCAATGTTAATAAAATGAATAAAATAAAATAAAATGAAATTGCAATTAAAATAATGTTAGCCGATTGTGGCTTAAGAATAAGCCACTGATGATTGGCAGATATATTGAGCGAATATTATTGAACTCGATTACGGTAAAGTGTTTGTAATGTGCAACTATGTTACTAGCAAATATATAGGGTTTGTAAGTGAAACGCACCTTTCCAGAAATGGTTTGCAGCATTACCGGCTCATTACATTTTTCCTTGAGATCCCACAATTCAAAACAACCGTCTAGCCTAGTCAAAATAAACATTCCTGATCTGCCGCTCCAACATCCTTCGCCGTATCTACATTTCTTGGTTCTTTTCTGAAATATTGGTGCGTATGGAAAATCTTCTTTCCATATAGCGAAAACCCTACCACCCACGGTAAGAAAAACGTCGTCCAAATGAAACGATTTTGTCATTGTTCTAACAATTCCATCGTGCACGCATGATCTCGTTAGAATTTTACAAGTTTCATAATCCGTGACGTCAGCATTATAGATCTGCCCCTCCCAAGTACAGCATATGACTTCACCCATAACCGTTCCTACGAAGACCTTCCGCAACTTTTCCAAGTTAAATTTATTACGAATATCCAAATTCAAGCTTTCTTCACTCTTAGCCAGCGTCAAATTAAAGCACGTTATTTGAATTCTGCTCATAACTTTTTCATCTGGTTCCTCAAATAATAATTGATAAATCGGGGCGATAGTCAAATGCAATGGACTACGCGTTTTACTTGAAATCGACAATAATCTGGGTAAACTCCAAAATAATATACTACCATCGATCGATGCTGTTGCGAAATATGGCTTTGGCAATTTAAAAGAATTACAGCAAATTTTCTCAAAATTACCATCGGCTTTAATGCCGCACCATGATGGTAGCCATTGGATGCTTGTAATACTGAGTTTTTGAGCTTTTTCAGCAGAGGCAGCAATCTTAGCTTCTTTATTGACAGAATCTATGTATTTATCATTACTCCTTCGATATTTGTTTTAATAAAAAAATATTAAATATGTATTTATTGTATTTATAAAAATATTATGCAATTAATATGATTACATTCATAGAAGTAACAAACACAAATTCTTATTAATATAGTTCAATTTTATAATAAAAAATGTAATTGTCAAGTGACTTTTGAAAAATCAAACGTTACGTATCTTAATTTGTGTCAAAAAAAAAAAAAAAAAAAAAAAAAAAAAAATATAATCATAGAATAGATTTCGTAGAGGCTTGGTAAATGTAGTACAACATTCTCCTTGTTCTTTAAAAATAGTCCGATATTATTTATTATAGTAATGAACATTACTGCGTCTTAATAATCGATCAAAATCAATGTATACCTACAATATGTCATCCTCGTTATTTTGTTCATCTATCAACCAATGCTCATCAATTTCCCAAACAATAATTTTTCCATCGAACGAGCCTCCAATAACAATGTTACTATAGCTCTTCAAAGGGCAAAACGAGATTTCAGATATATTTTCTTCGCAATTCAATATAATTTTCGGCCATAATGGACTATGTAGAGACCACAAAGTAATCAAAGAACAACTTTCACAATCCTTGTCTGAATAAGTACAGATAATGACGTTACTTAACGTACTATGCCAAGAAAAAGAAAATAAGTGTCTGTCTTTGATAGTTCTAAGGTCAACTAAGGTCACTCTTTCGTTGTACTCTTTACGAGAATTCATTAATAATGAATTTGTTTCATTAACAGCTAAATTAGCCACATCATTTTTGTAAAGATTCACCGTAGCATTAAATGTAACAGCTTCAATAATATCATCGATGTGAATTTTTAAAAAATTATTCACTTTCCCCCACTGTTTTCGCCTGTTCTCTTTAATATGCAATTCTTCATCAGTTATTACTCTCTCCACTTTGTTTTCCGTAGAATTTGTTTCATCATTTTCTTCATTGGACATCTCCTAAATATAAATTCAAATTTTATAATGACTATTAAACGGAAACAAACTATAAAACAATTACTTAATCGTTCCTCGTTAAAAAAAAAAAAAAAAAAAAAAAGGTTTCTTATTAGGGCAGCCTATCTTAATTATACGAGTCCCTTTACATTATGTATTAAAACGAAATAATAAACGTTTTATATAAATTTTTCAATCGTAACAATCTATCTATCTTATCGATTTGGTATTTTGAGCACGAGATTTAATAAATGTAGTATATCACCTCTTCGTCCGTCTCCACATGATTCCAAATATTTTGAAAATCAACAGGTATCTCGAAATCGTAAGCCGTCCATTTATTCGTCAAATCCTCGTGGTATGTCTGTATCTCTACATCTTTGCTTTCTAAATTTGTTTGGCAAGTTTCGGTTTTCGTCAAGAGGGCAATATTCTTGAATTTTTTGGAGGATACGAGCTCAACATAACCGTCTCTGACGCCGTCAGGCCCGCGATCGCTGAGATGCTTTTGACAGCAAAGTTTTGATATTGGAAGGCACACATCGATTTCATAGAGTGGTCTTGTCATGCGCAAAAACGTCTCCTTTACTTCCTCCGTGGTTCCATGATCCTTCCATTGTTTGGCTTTCTTTCTTATTTGATTCTTAGCGATTTTAAGGAAGTTTTTGGTAATGGAGCGATTATACGATATGAAAGCCGACGTTGTTTCCTCGGTAAGACAAATAATGAAGTTTCCCGCACCTAATATAATTGAGCGTCATTATTGTCAATGATTTTTATCAATGAGAAAAGCATATAATTCATGCAGCTGAAGATAAATAAACATGGCTTCTATAATGATTATTAATAGTTTTTTTGTTTTTTTTTTTTTTTAATTATCAATTGTAATTTAGTTTTTGTGTGACGATTTAACTAATTTTATCCCTTCATAGTCGAGTCAAGTACAAAATTCTTTTTTATCCTGAAACAAAATTGACTAACCCGATTTATCCACTTCTACAGTATTACATGCATAGCCAACCAATACCTCTTCTACAGCATATGAACCAATTTTTTCAACTAAATGATCTAGAGGTGAATTCACTTCTCGCGAAATATCACTTAGCTTTTGACGTGACACGAACGCATATGGATATTCTAAGGATACGTCCTCGTTGATGACACATCCAAGCAGCTTTTGCATATCTCTCGACAATTTCACGAATTCGGTGCCGTCAATTTTGGCCACTAATGGACAACGATTTAATTGAAAATCGCGATTTTTTTGCTTGTCTATCGTGGCCATTATTTAATTTAATGTTAACAAGAGAACAATATTGCACTTTGTATATAAGAATTCTGAACTAACACTGATCGATCAAACATTATGGTCTTGTATCCAAGTTACAATACTATAATAATAGCTCGTTTTTAATAAATTATTAATTAATTAGAGCGTAAATTTTTTTAACATATGTGTGTAAAATTTTGCTTTTACTTATACTGTATTATTTTATATAGTAAAAGTAAGTAAAACAATTACATTTAATTAGTTGACTAATATATATATATATATTTTTTTTTTTTACCTTAATTTACCATATGAATATTATTGAATAATTTTATCTTATCTATTATTAGAAGGAATTTGAATTCCAAGACTTTCTTCGTATGTTCCAAAAAATTATGTATCTTGCAAAAAAGTTTTTTATACACATTATTTTTAACAGTTTTAAATCTTATGTTTTTTATAACAAATACCGAAGCAAGAATTAGAAATATTTTATTTCTTATGAGGATATGAGGATATATAAAAATTAATGATTTATTTACAGATAAAAATCATTAACAGTTTTTCACGTTCGTTAAATAGAGGGAAATTTTTAAATCATTTATAAATAATTATATTAATAATTTATTATTAAGTATTACATATAATTTAATATTATCTTTATAATATGTACTGTTTGCATTTTTTTTTTTCTATTCGTTGCATCTTCTATTTCGCCTTAATGATGCATTAGTAACACGGTATCTTTCACATCTGTGGACTTCCATATTTGAAAATATTTTCGTTACGGCTAATAAATTGAAATATTAACTTTACTTCCACGGCATATTTATTTTTTATATAATCCATGAGGATCAATACTACATATAAGAATTCACATTAAACCGCATAACTGTACATGTAATCAGCCTGTACATACTTAGGCGAAACGCCATACGAGTAATCGAAATCATCCATGATAATAAGAAAATACGCCAACGAGAATAAATTATACGATAAATTATAGATTTTCTTTTATGAAAAAAAAAAAACCTGTCTTCAATATTGACGGACTTACAGAGAAAGAGATCGCGTGGAGAAGATGCGCCGGATGTACGTTTAATGTAGTTTGCGTTTGCTTACGATTTTGAACGAAAACGAGAAAGTTAATGGATAGAATGCCAGAACTTGATGCGAATTACGAACTTGGATAACGACTTTACTTTCACTGATCATTGTGCGAATCAAGATGTTTAATGTACATCTATCATATTTTTTTCGAATTTGCTATTTTTATTGAAATGAAGTGATTCTTTTTTACTGCAAGCTTTAATTATATAAATGATTCTAACTACCCTTAAAAATTCTTAAAAGCACCAATAATTATTAGATTTAAATTGAATATTACTTAAATAGATTATCGTGCTCTGGTAATTATCTTATAAACCATTAACATTAAGTGGCTTATCTGAATAAGTATTAATATTCAACGAAAGCGCCTTAAAAGAAGAGAATCATCATAACAAACTTATTCATGTATTTTAATTAAATGCAATTGTATCGTTAGTTGAATATTTCAATTAATAAGAGGTTTAACTTATTCTACGATATACTAATTATAAAATTACGATTATTTGACGGTGTTTTATATCTACAGGCTTAGACAAGAAAATCGTTACATTCCAAATATCGGTACCTTAAGATGATACTATATGAAAAAAAATTAGATAATTAGATAAAAATCAGATAAGTAAATTAACAATCAAACAGATATTTTGATATGCATTAATTTACTTCTTAAGTAAATAAAATATTATTGTTACTTATAATTTATTAATACATATTAACAAATTATTGTATGAATGAAAAAATTATTATATTAAATTTAATGTACTCTACGCACAAATTTCGTTTGTTAAATAAAAAAAAAAACACATTTAAACTGAGCTTCATAATAATAATAATAATAATAATAATAATAATAATAATAATAATATTAATAATAATAATAATTAATAATAATAATAATAATAGAGATAAGTCTAATTATATCAAGTATATCAAGAAACATTGCAATCTATGTACGATCTGGGAATGAAAACAAAAATAAAAAAAAGAAAATGAAAATCCTCAGCTAAAAATACGTTCGATAAAAACAGGTAGTTGGTCTAAATGAGGTAGATATAAAAATAGAAAGTGACAAAATGTGTTATAATGGATAGTTGGCAATTATTTAAGAAAAGATATTTATATATTCCTTTGCTAGATATTTTTCAAATTTTTACAACGATATGCTACTATAGCATTCATTTATTAGTATATAAACATTAAAAAAATTAACGTTAATGTAAAAAAAAAGTATTTGAAATATAATAGAAATACTTTTATCATAAGTCAAAAAATATTATGAATAAATTCTAAATATGTCATTATAGATATATTTATAAGTCCTATGAATGTACAAATAAAATTGCATTAATCATTTAGACTGGAAATCTTTTCAAGCGCTTCACACATGTAATGTCATATGGCTAAATATAAATGTTATAAAAAAGCAACCAAAACAAAATATTCTAGGACCTTGTTGCATTAAATCTAAAGTCATTCATTTTAGCATATCATTTAAAATATGTTGACAAGGAAAACGTGTTTCATTACGATAATAGTAAGAAGAAAAATCAAGGACTTTTATTGCATTTTATACATTAATGCATTACATTAATTCCATTTATAATTTTATTCAGAATTTTTTCGCTCCTTGTTAATAAAATGTGAATTGAATTAACAAGGGAGTAGAGAAAATTGACATAAATTTATGGTAATTACAATAATTATAATATCCAATCAATTTGTAAAATTTTATATTACATAAAAAATTTCTTAGATATAGAAATTACATTTTTACATTAATTGTTAATTCTTTCCTTAATTCCTTGTCTGGCATAGCATTATTGTTATTTCTACTTTTATAATGCACTAAAGACCTAATCAACTAAAATAAATATTTATTTTGAAATTCATTTGAAAAATGTACGAGTAAATAAATTTAATGATAGTAAAATAATTTTTCGTGATATCACATTGTATTATTATGCTCATCTTCATATGGTATCAACTGAAAAAGATATGTACAAAAATATCATGATGATGTGCAAAAGGCCATAAAATATGTTAAGGTGGATATGTAAACACGAGAGCCCAGTATCAAATGTCACATTCAAATTTGTTCGAAATATGTATTAAGAAATGATTTCATCGGATGTAAAATCATAAAATCATTCGGAAATTCTCCTAAAACAGATATATTAGATTATATTAAATGGTCTCATTTATTTCATGCAGTATTTAAAAATATAATCATATTAAATTTTACTCTTTCTATAATAAGAGTAGCATTAAGTAAAAATATCGTATGATTTTTCACATTTCAGTCTAAATTGCAAAATATTATCGTCAATCAAATACTTAAATTTAACTATTACATTATATTATATATATATATATATATATATATATATATATATATGATATACTTGATCATTGGAAAAGATAGATTGCATGCTCGTTATAAATTAATTTTTTCACTTTACCAATGATTATTCGAATGCAATATGAAAAACGATTATTCTTAATTATCAAAAACATCAATTCCTTATGTAATCACGACGATATTTGACTTGGTTACCACGGAGCTTACGTGGGATCATTGATCATAAAAAGTATATAAATCGATGTCTCATAAAATATCTTTTCAAATGTGACGCTTTTAATATTGATAGTGTTTATAATTGTAATTGTATCAGCTTGTAGTTCTACCGTGTTGAAATGTATATAAACAAAGCTTGGGTTGACATAAATAGTTGCGAGAATGCTTTCTCAACTTAAACGCAATGTGTTAGTTAGTGAAAGCTTGAAACTCGCATCATAAATTAAGTGTTGTGAAAATGGCTTACGGATATCACTTCTAAAAATAGGAAAAAACAACGGGAGTCGACGAGGGTAACGATGCTTTTTTCACGCTCGCGTCTCAAATTGATTTGACTTTAAATTTTTGTTCCAGTCATTATGACTTATTCATTCGAACGTTACAGTTTATAAATGCAATTTTCCAATTTTCCGATAGTCAACGTAAGTAACAAGATTTGATTTATACATTTTTGACGGTTGAAAATATTCTTACGTAACACCTTGCCATTGGTAGTTTGTTTAAAATAAATCGTTGATGCAATTGCTATACTTAGTTGCTTTCGTATCATCAATAAATGTTATTCAAACCCATTGGAAAAATGTCACAACACTCTCGATATTATCCATTTAGTTCTTATAATGGGCATTAAAATGATGATTATAAAGAGAGTAAATAATTATTATAAAATCGAATCTATAAATATAAATCAACGAAATATTAACTTGAATTATTAACAGCATTAGGAAGTAAAGAAAATGTATATTAAGATATGCTCCTAATGGCAATAACATCGATACGTACGTGAAAATGCTTGTGAAACTTTCTACGATCACACCAACGCGACATTTGCATATATAAGATTTTTTATAAAAAAATTTTTCAGCAATCGATGCCACAACGGTGCATTACAACGCTATCTCGCTCGCTATCGCCAATATCTCGTTTATTATAAAATATTCGAGAATGTTATTGAATTCATCCGATAGCTAAAGCCAAACAAACAATTGAATAAATAAATCGGCGTCATATCGTCGAGCGGGAGATTATTGTACAACAAGTAACATATAAAGCTGTACGTACGCTGGTGTGCGCGACTCCTAAGCTGTGGGCTGCGATTCGTATTTCGTGTTTCCTTTCGGCTAGAGGCAGCTACGATCACGACGAGGAGGACCCATGCGACGAAGAACGCGACGTTGACGTGGGGCGGGAGGTGGGAAGGGGACCGCGCACCGAGAAAGAGCCAATGACCTATATGCAATCGCACGCTGCGAGTCGCTGCGTTTGTGCGTGACTTTGGTGCGCGCGCGCGCCTACTCCTTCGTTTCTTTTCATTCTCTCGTTTTCTACAAAAGCGGTCACTGGGCCTCTGCGGACTCGTAAGAATCGGCCACATCTTACCATCAAGCGCACCCGACTTAGCTATGATTGTTTAGGTGCCAGGTCTTACCTCTCCTCCACTCTCCTTTTAAACATCGATA